ACTCCAAGTCTGCTTGCATATCTATAAAAGTCACCGCACGCTATTGCAACTTTCAGAGGCTCTAAAGGACTATTGCTGGCACGGTAAAGCTGGCAACAATCAGCATGCTAACACTGCATTTCCTGATTACTGGATGATGAAACACTTTATTAGAATTAACTGGAATTAATGTCGTGTGGGGCCTTTAACTTTCCAGCATTCACTGTGTAAAGAAAAGAAGAGTTAACAGTTGATAATGATGATGATATTTTTTGTCACTTTTTACACCAAGCTACAAATTAGTACAATGGCTATATGTGTAAAATCATTGATATTCACATTTATTCCAAGTGGGCCATTTGTAAGCTCTACCTTCAAATGACTGGACTGGGCTTTAAATGTAGGAGCACTGATTGCTTACTAAACATTGTTTTGTTTTCCTTGGGTTGGATGGATTGAGAACTCTTATCACAACAGTTCATCTGAAATTCTGGATGTGAACTTCAAAGGGTTGCATGCAGTTTGGTTTATGCACAATGCAAATATGCACAAGAACAACAGTAGTCATTTTGATCTACATGCAGATAATCCGCTTCCTAATGAACGGGATTGGATGTAATAATCACAATTAAACTTAATTGCCCTTTTTCTCAGTATAGTAAATGTATAAGGACCAAGGATTTAAAAAGGTAAATAAATAAGGTAAATGGTCACACAGAACTTCCAGACTGCTGCTGCTCGGGTTCTGACTAGAATCAGGAAGTACAAGCACTTAAAGGCCGGTTTATATTGTCAAATCAACATGGACGTTCCACACAGCTCCCTGACTCACCTGACAGTCAATTAGAAAGATGTCAGTGTTTGCTCTGCTGTGCTGTATACTTGCACCTCAGCCAAAAAGTCCTGTGCTCAGGTCTCTGAGGCTCCAGTGGCTCAGAGAACAGACTTAGAGCTCTGCTTACACGTCTCTCCACGGCCTAGCACCAAAGTCAAACATCTCTGACATGTTAGTGTCATATGAACCTAGGGCTGGGCGATATGGATCAAAAAATATATCTCAATATATTTTGCTATATCTCGATACACGATATATATCTCAATATATGTTCAAGAAAAAATAACCCCCTAAAACTGAAAACTGCAAAAACAAATCTGCCAAATACAACAAGGTCCTTTTTTTTTTTTTTTGAAGTGTAAGAGGTCGGCAGTTCATATAGGAACATTTAAGATTACAAAAAACCCTAATTACATAAATAATAATTTAACTGTAAAATAAAATAAATAAAACATATTTTCTTCTTTTCATTCATAAATAAAACAACTCAACACAAGCTCATCTTTGCATTAACTCTGTTATCCAAACCAGAACCAGAACCACGAGCTCCTTTAGCAGAGGAAGTTCAGGATGTTCCTTATTTTAACAGATCCATGTTCCTCACCAGCAGAAGGAGCTCTGAGGTTTCCCACAATCCACTGCAGATCAAACCCAACATTTCCAAACACTATTGTACAAGTGACACTGCAGCAGACTATTCATTAAAATCTTCTGCATAAATAAACTTTACATTGCTAAACTTTACAATATATAAAGCATAAGGACTGTAGAGCCACATCAGCTCGTTTGAGATAATAATGTGTTTAATGCAGTTTTGCGCACGTGTGTTTACATTTTACAGAAACGAAACTTAAGCGCATGACTCATTTGCATAAACAGCGAACTTCTCATGCAGCTCAGCTCGTTTAGCTTCTTTCGGGCTAAAGGACGCGACTCGGTGGAATATGAGGATGTGCTGCTGATGGTTTTGTCTGTAAATGGTGGAAAAGGTTCGTAGTGCTTGAAGCTTTTCACTGGCACCAACTTTCGGTGTTCACGGTGGTAGTGACGAGTGAAGGAGACACGAGCGAACAAAATCAGGGAGGCGGAGGCGCGCGAGGCGACGAGAGAGAAGGTAAACAAGTGAAGCGGCGAAATTAGAATTGAATCTAAGCATTATATCGATATATACGATATGTCAGAATTCAGAATTCTCGATATATTTAAAATATCGATATATCGCCCACCCCTATGTGAACCATCTCGCACTCTGAGGACCGGCCCAGAGTCAGGACTAAACATGGGGAGTCAGCATTTGAATTTTATGCAGCTAAAATCAAGACTAATATATATATATATATATATATATATATATATATATATATATATATTCTGCACTCTTTTCTTTAAAAGTACATTTTATGATAATTTCAGTTTTTATTTGTTTGTATTGTGATTTTAATGTCTTTCTTATTCTTTAAAGTATTTTCAATTAAAGGGCCTGTACCCAATTTCACACCACTTTTTTTTTTTTGTTTGAACTTTTAGCCCCACCCACTGAGTTTTTCCTTGCACTGTGGTATAGGCTCTATTCACACTTACATCACAACCCAGGAAGACGTTTGGAAAGATGCGATGATAACTCAGACGCAGTTTTCTTCATCTAAATGTCATTTTAGCGTTCTATTATGTTTGGCTAATCAACAATTACACCTATACCTCAGTTTTCATCATTTCCCACACAACTCCAAGCGCACTGGGTACATGCGATTAGAAGAGATGAAGGTGCCAAATTCAAGATTATTCCAAACATGCAGTCTTCATTTTACCGCTGATCACATTTACTTCAGTGGGTTTTATTACAGTCAGAAGGCGAGCCCAGTGTCGGTAACTACACCAGAAGTTGTAATCGCATCTTTCCAAATGTCTTCATGGTTTGTGACATAACATGAATAGAGCCTATTACACCATTACACAGAAACAACTATCTGGGAAAGTGTCAAGCATTTGGTTTCCCATAATTTTTTGTGAAAAACATGCCTGATTGGAAAGAGAAAGGTGACTGTCAGTACCTTCTGTATTAGTTATTAACCGAGACAATGTTATGTAAAATGAAATCATACATCACATGATACGATATGATAGGTACAGCTCTTTTAAATAAATTTGCCTTAGCATTCATCCACACAAAGTCAAAATGTACATGAGAGATTCCAAGTCTTGCCTAAAGACTCAAGACCAGAATGCAATGGAGACAACATGCAACCGCTAACCATTGGGCCAGTGAGCAAAACGTACCAAGAGATACTACTACTGCTTGTTTTATATGTTACTGGTCATGATTAAAAAAGTACTAGAGTTAAACAGCACAATGAAGTAGTGGTAGGCTAAAGAGAAACATTTACATAACCAGCCCGCCCACAGCAGCCACTGACTGCAGGCTGACCAGACCAGGCCTTAATGCAGTTATATTTCGGGATTTGGGTTTTTGGCAGGACCATATCATTTGCTTTTTGACCATCATTTCTGCAGTGTTTGTGTCTGGGAACCGCTGCTCGTGAGTGACTCGTAGCAGACCGCTCATTTGATGTGGTCCAAGTCAAACTGAACTCCGCTGATACTCAAATAGAAGCTAGAGTTGAAATCAAGCGCCCACCACATCCCGGCATATCTCTTTGACCGCTGTCGTTTTCATGGTAATCCATACAACTGCAACAATATCTATGCTTTAAACACAATCAAGTCAGTGACGAATTGTGGGGTCTGAGCCGTCAAAAAGAGCAATTAAATCTTTAAAACCTAAGCCCCTTTTCATTGAATCAAAACCACAGTTTAATGAAAAATCAGCAACGCGAATAAACATTTACATGACTAATCCTACAGCAGGCGCCGGAAAACATTTCACATCTACTGCCACTTAAAAAGAGTTCATGTCCTGGAGTGTGCCATCCTATAGCACTAAAACTTTAAGGATATCAGTGCGTTCTTTACTGCCATATTTCCAGTTGTAAATTGTACTTTAAGATAAGATTATTTCCATACGCTCATTTTATCAATACATTGCATACAATTTAATCTTTTTATTGTCTAATGCAGTATTTAAAGAACACGTATTGCTACATGGTTAATCTACGACGCCTGTGGATCATTATGTTATTGTTTGTACTTTTCAAATCACAATATTCATCTAAACCAACATAATAAAAGAAAAAAGTCCGGCCAACTTCCATGTAAGAAAATTGTGGTGCCCATTGGGATCGCAATAAATGTCACCGCAACAAAGTGGGCAACTCCGATGGATAGCTGCAGATCACGCTAGTCAGCAGTGGATCTTATGTGTATCACCAATTGAGAAAATAAAATTGGAGAAGAAAGTAAATACAGAGAAATACGAGTGTAATCTACATGCAGTTCCTTTGAGAACACAATACATCCAATATTTTCTTTAATGAGCCACTAAAATAACTTTAATTAGCTTAGTGTTGAAACCAATATATAAAATCCCACACTTTGACTTTCATTGAGCAACACTATATGTCCCTGCTGGGCTACAGTAAATGTCTCACAGCCAAAAACACATTGGCCCCATAACTACAGTGTGTACGAGGCGCACAGTTTTAATATAGTGACCAGCTGACCTTAGATCCCAAAGGTGAGATCTTGCTGAAACGTGTGCCCTGTCTGGATAAAGTATCGAAGGCAGCTGTGAAGTTCTTTATGAAGTGATACCTCTGGAGACTGCCTGTGTACAGTGAGCTAGCAGCTTTTATGTCAGAAAAGTGCTCAGACGGATGTTCCTTATTTTCCTTGAACTAGTGAACCTTAGAGACCTGCACATTTAGTCCCAAATGTTAAATCTATTCATGATAAAACAGCACACCCCATCAGACTTGTTCCATCTGTCAATCGATCCATATAAACTGTATTATATCACATGTTTCTAGACATCTATCATTTATACACTCAACAAGATCAAAAAGAAACAAAGACGACAGAAGAAATGAAAAGCCAGGGTCCAAAACCATAGTAGCAACAAAGCAGAGCAAACAAACCAGTGGAGACAGTAGATCAGAGTGAGTAGTGTAAATGCAGCATTGCTTGAGTTTTAATAAAAGTGATACCAAAATCATTTGGTGATCATGGCGGATACACCACACACAGGTCCAGCAAACACACATTAGTAAAATGTGGCTGTGTAGCCTCCTACCAGACAGTGTATTGAGATGTAGTTCAGAAGATCACTCTCCATCTGACCCCAAACAGGACACCTGGACACCTGTGTTCAACCAACACACCATTAGAACAATTTTAAAGACATGTTGTCTTAACTTGAGCTAACGAACACTGACAAGTAAACTAAATACATTTTAATTCTTTATTTAACCACAATAATAGAATAAAATTTAATAAAAAAAAAAAATAAAAACTCTTAATCTTTCTTAATCAGTTCAAAAGATGTTACTCAGCATAATTTAAGATAGTAATAATATGATGTGTGAAAAACATTATGTTAAAATGTGCTGCTATAAAATTCTAAATAACATAGGCCACCTCTAAAAATAAAGAACTCTAACTCCAAAAATTAAGGAACTAGCACAAAATTCTAGCCACCATTCTTAAAGCTTGTGTCATTATAAAAGCAAATACAATGAAATTTCATAATTGAACAACCAAACTCACCAAGTTAGCAGCAGACATGTTAAACAAGTTCCCAGTAAAAAGATGCTCCATGCTCGCCTACTGTTCCACTGTCCCACATTAAGTGATTTCTTCTTTGTTAGTTTATATGACGGGCAGGACTCAGCGTACAGGTGTTTCTCTGCCACCTGCTGTATTGGAGTGGAACCAATGACCAAAAAACACATGTATAAACTGGCCTATTGCCTCGAGAGTGACCAACCCACCTCAATGAATTATGAGTGGAAACAATGTCACTTTTCAAAAGTGTAAGACTAATGCAACAGGAATTTCATCATGAATGTAGTTTTTAATTTAAATCTACATTTTCTTTACAAAACATAAAACCAAACAAAGTTATCTGAACAAAGCACAGAATTTTAAAAAGTGAAGACCAACAAAGCAAAAGTCTAAAAGCAAAACTTAAAGGTACCCTATGTAACTTTTTGGAGAGCGTTTCACCACCTGTCTTTCTCAATGGGGATTGCCAGGAATGTGCCACACTATGAAGTTCGGCTTCTTGCATGTATTAAATCACAGCTTTGTTGCCAGATCTGACTTGTAACTTGGTGTGGTTGTGTCACCTGCTTGTCTCCAAGGGGATAGATGTTTAATGCCATATTGTGAAACATTCCTGGCAAAACTATATAATCTCCATGGAGACAGACAGGTGGCAGACTCTCCCCCTGAAACGTTACACAGTGCAGCTTTGAATACTAAAACTCAAACAGATATATAGGAAATTCTGTAATTGCTCTGCCACAGTTTCCTTCTCACCACTGACTCTCATCATGGTCTTTGTTCATTTCTCTGCTTCATACCAACTGAAAAACAGAAAATTTTGCATTTTGTCCTATAAGCTTGATAAGTTCTTGATTATATCACTAATCTTGCAATATCACTCCCAAAATTGCAGCACCTCTCCAAGTCCAGTCAGCAGCCTCTTTTTGTAGAAAACAAAAACAAAAGCAGGAAAGCGGCTGAGGCGGCAGAATGTCACACATGGGCTGATGGGAAACAGATGTTGCTTTGCGGCGTCTGACAGCGCAGTCTCCGTCGGGCCACGGGAGTCAAGATGACGCGCTTGTCTGGTTAGCATCTGTCATACAGGCCTATAAATGTTCTGGAGCTGGTGGCGTTAGCAGGCTGTGCTAGCTCTGTCCTGGGCCCTCGGTGGTGGAGTGGTGAAACCGCATCATCACAGTCACATGGAAAGAAAAGTTACTTCAAAACATTTAAATAAGTGTATGTAGGATTTTGATGTTCGATTCCATAAACATATGTCCCCATAAAAGGCAAATATGTTTCAAATCAAATATACTGTAGCTTTCAGTGACCACAGTAATGCTGTAATTTATTCTTAATAACAAAAACACTGGACATCGGCAGGCAAGTTGTTCATGCCATAATTTGGTGTTTAGGTTCTTAAGATGATTATCCAATCAGAAAGCAGAATGAGCTTCATATGACTCTCATTTGGGTTGCCAGTTTTAATTTTGAAATCCAGTTGGTTTAAAACAGATTGTATAAAGAAGTGGACTATGGGAGTTTGAGAAGCATCAAACGTCCCCCTGGCTTGAAAGTTCCGGCACGAGCATCCCATTCTTTCGACGGGAATGTCCCCCTCTTCCCTCCAGGTGCTCCCTTCTCTTGGGCGGCACATGGGGAACTGCTGTGCCCGGGAGAGGGGGGACATTCTCGCCGGCCTTTTGTAGGCTGTGTCACATACTGTGATGTATTGAATTAGAAAATCTGCATTCTATATCATAATAAAATAAAATGTGAATGTAGCGAGACCAAATGTCGGTCCTTGTTTGTGTCATTTTACTGATCTTCCTGAAGAGGCACACATTTTTTCAGTATGTAAAATCAATATAATCCTCATTTGCTCGCAGAAGTTTCCTATGAAATCTTATTTTAAATATTATTTTTTAGAACAAATGTGTTGAGATGTAACTTGCATGGGTAATTAATACAATATAAGGGAAAAAAAATATGATTTTTTAAAAATTTGTATGTATATAGATTAACTAATTTAGTTTCATAAAGGGTACAACTCAGGGAGACTTTCGAGCTTGGTGATCATTCGGCTCCAGTCAAATGAAGCTCAAGGAGGTTAGAGGTTATAGGAACAAATAGAAATGATGAACTGAATAGAAGAACTTCCATTTTAGGAACAGAAATTTATTTACAGCCAAAGTAGCAAAATAAAAACCAGACCATGTAGAGTAGGTTAATACGAACATTTCAAGACTAAAAGCAGTTACAATGCAAAGTCAATTGGAGCCAGTCATTGGACCATAAAGCACTCCTATGGTCACTTCTTATTTGGAACGCTGTAGTAGCCATTTATACAGTATACGTAGTCTATGGTTTAAACCTAAATCTAAATCCTCACTATCTTAACCCCAGCACCTGCAGGTCAGTACTAGTATGTGTCCTCTAGATGCAAATTTAGGATCTGGCAACCCAAGTGAAGTTGTGATTGTAGTACCTTTTTTAACTTCAGAGCACAAGCTATATACAGTCCCTTTAAAGTGGCTGTACCAGATTTTCTTTTCCCCACTCCTGCTCCAGTACAGACATATTGTAAAAGCAGCTTTTGAGGTCAAAACGAGACCGCTGTATCCTGTCAGCAACTAACTATAGAGCTTTTATTGTCTGAGAATCAGGAAGTGAGTTGTTGCTAGTAGTTACCAAGACGACAAAACTCCGCTCTGGCCTCTGGAAGTTGCGAAAAGCACTTATAAACACATCACAGTGAATAATTAGGACATGTTAGGAAAGCGAGGAATAACTTTAGACTGCTTTGTTTTTCATGTTCAGAAAGTTAAAGAAAAAAAAAGGGAAAAAAATCAGGTAGTGCGTCTTTAACTACCCTTTGCTGTCACTTGAATGCTGCTACACATCATCTGGCTGTGTGCACAAAACACTTATCGAGTTGGCAGCTACAGTGCGGATGTGAAACGTAGAGAGCATGCTGAAGATTGGTGATAATTTGAAGTCCATTAGCGTAGCCTCACATGTAGCCCTCAGAGGTAAAAGCAGGGTTTGTCCATCAAGCTTCAAGCCAGTGCTAATAAGGATGACTCACCTCGCTGCAAGAAGAGGAAGATTGAATATAGATGTACTATATAGGTGACACGTGGAGAGGTGTCATGTGGCGTGTAGAGGTGTAGAAAGCTCTGACCAGTTCTGAAGTATGTCATTTAAAGGTGCCATACCTGACTTTTCATGTGGGGGATGAAAAAAAAGAAAAATAATAAAATATTAATAAACAGAAAACACAATATACAAAAGAATAGGAAATATATAAATGTAAATTTGATTTGACAGCCCTAAAATGTAAATATACACATGCAAACACTGCATTGAGAAACTCTGTATTACCCCCCTTCACCCCTTCTTTTTTATCTATTTGTGTGTATGTGTGTTTTCTGTGTTATTTTTGTCTTTTGTTATGTCTTATGTCATGGCCAAACCTTCTACTTCTGGTCAAAGCCTGATTTCGTCAGATCTCAGAAGCTAAGCAGGGCCGGGTCTGGTTAGTACTTGGACTTGCAGACTGACAGCCTCGCTTCCATCAGTCTGCCCCAGGGCAGCTGTGGCTACTATAGTAGCTTACCAACTCCAGGTATGAAATTAATGAATAATGCACCAAATTTTAAAGCAACTTTGAGCATCTGGAAAACTCTATATAAGACTAAATCATTATTATTATGTTTATTTTGTTATTAAAATGATGGGTATACATCTGGCCGGTTTCACTTCGTGGAAACCTTCTGACCTCGTACCATTAGGATTCATTCACTTGACGGTAGACGGGAACTTTTTTTATTTAACCAATCGCTATTTGGTCGTGATATATGTAATGCGCCAAATCCCATAGGAAGAAGGGCAGTAACATCTTTCCCCTTGAGAAAATTCACCAAACATTCACTTTATTTCAGCTTTAAATCCTCGATCTCGGGAATCGTTGCCAACACAGAATGTATGGCTTCGTCTACATCCATCTCAACTGCTTTGTTTACTGTACCACAAAAGGGACCCAGACAGGCGCTTGAGTTTGACGTTATGGGTTCACACCTTGCTAGTCTAGTGTATTTCGATTCCTGACCTAGTCGCTGGAGAGAAATTAAATTGAGTGGAGGCACTAGGTATCGCCAGCCTGGCTAATACATACCCTCAAAATTATTCACCGCGATGAGTTTAATAATAATAATACATTTTACTTATAGGAACCTGTCGAAGACTTCAAGGTCATTTTACTGAGCACATTAAAAACACTTCAACAGAATCATAAAATGCATTAAAGGTGCATTGTGCAACTTTTCTGGTGGAGGGTCTGTCACCTGCTTATCTCCTGATGTTATTGCTTTGCCCAAAATGTTCCACAGTATGACATTAAACACATCTATCTAGCATTTCTCCATTACAGGTGTGTTTGTTGCTGTCTCTGTGAATAGGGTTGCTTCTCCGCAGATCTGACCTGTAATATAGCCTATAGTTGTTTCCCTTGACAGAGATAGGTTTTATCTCTACTGTGGAGCATTCAAAACAGTGGCTAAAAACTGCAGGATTGAGGGTTCGAGCAAAGGAAGGGATTCTATGGCACAGGGGTCTGCTGGTGGATTGTTCCAGAGGTGGAGGGTAGAGTGACTGAAGGTCCTGGCCCCTGGAGGACAGAGGAGCTGGAGGTTTGGAGAGGAGGTAGGTGGAGGGGGAGCGCAGAGAGAGTGAGGAAGTTGTTGGAGCAAATCTAACAGGTATGGAGTGGTACGGCATTATGGAAGGCTTTGAAGGTGAGTAGGAGTATGCTGAGGTCAATGTAGACTTCAGATGTGCATGCTCACGCGCACCTCCTGATTACAGGACAATTAAATCTAATTTGATGCAGACAACACGGAGCGGACCTATTTTGACCTCAAGAGCTGCTTACACAATATATCTGCACTGTGGCAAGGCAAATTTTGCTAAAAAAAAAAAAAAATCGAGGACAGGCCCTTTAATTGGTGTTGAATTATTACATCGCTGGAAGATTAAGTCATCTTGAGTTTCATCATTTTGAAAGTAACATGTAACCACAGTTTGCTTTTGTCTGGGTGACGCCGTATGCAT